ATCTTCTTAAGTTGTAGACCTTGGTGGATATGCAATGTAAAGTCATGTTATAATTTTCTTAGACGTCAGTCTCCAGGAGGAAGGGAAAAACAAATTGCTCTTTTAACCTTCTGTAGGGCCACAATTTTTGGTTGCTCCTTGAGAGAATCTTTATTCTGAGTCTCCTGAGGAAGACATTGACTAAAATGATGAAGATTGAGGGAGTTGGGGGAAATAGTCCTTAGATTACAAAAAAGCCTCTAATGTATTAACTCTGTTTTCATTCTCTGACTTCCCTCTAGCGCTGACTCACTTGTTATGCTCTGTCTCCACTATCTACTGTGTTTCTCATATTCAAACCAAGACTGGAGGATCGGTCATTAGGTTAAATACTTTATATTGTTTCTGGCTTTCATGTACCCTGTTTGAACTGGCTCTCCTTGATGGTAAGTTGCTAGCGGACAAGGATCACTAAAAACTAAATTGTGTGCTAATTTTATGTGAAACTAGATTGTTATAGCACTCAGGTCAGCAGATACATGTTCTCTTTCCCCTCTCCCCGTAAAAAAGAGACCTCTTACAATAATCAAAGTCATTTCCCAAGTATTGGTTCTGTGCCCCGTCCCTCCTTTTGTTCCTTTTTGGGATGGAGTGTCACCACCCAGCACCTAGCACAGTCTTTTCCATAGAGTAGGTGCTTTGTAAAAGTTGATTGAGCTTGTTGTCTTTTGTACTTCCTGCCTTCAGATTATGTGTCTTTGTAACTTAGTCTGAGGTGGAAGAGACTCATTTCTGTCACTGTGCAAACCTTCCAACTGCCATGAATTTTGCATACACACATGCCTCTGCCACAGAGCTGTATATTCAAATTCCTCGGAACAGGATGTGTCTTTTGGATGTGGTCCCACTGTGATTCTAATTTTCTCATGTATGGTCCAAGTAGAGCACTTTAACTTTGTTCAGCCAAGGAATAGATAAATGGCCCCGCAAAGAGGACTGGCGAGAATTCTTTATTTTGAGTTTCTAGGTTTTGCATCTCTGCTTCTTACAGTTAAGAGTACATGCGGATACTTCATCGATGTCAGACTGAGTTTATTCATGTGGACATTTTTAATGTAAATGAGAGCTGAGATTATTTTGTGTATCCATCATTAGACCATTTTGTTTGAGACCTGTGAACATGGGTTGTGCTGTAAGTTCAACCAGCGATCCCTGTGATTTTTTTTTTTTAAAGATTTTTGAGGGGGGGAGCAATTTTCGGTTCACAGCCAAATGAGAGGAAGGTACAGAGATTTCCCATATACTCTAGCTGCCCACATGCACAGCCTTCTCTGTTATCAGTATCTCTCAGCAGAGTGGCACAGTTGTTATATTGGATGAGTCTCCACTGACACATCATAACCGCCTAAAACCCATAGTTTATTTACATTAGGGTTCACTCTTGGCAGTGTGCGTTCTGTGAGTTTGGGCAAATGTATAATGACCATATATCCATCATTCTGGTCTCAGAGCTAGTATTTTCACCACCCTAAAATTCCCCTGGGCTCTATTCTATTTCTCCCTACTCTCATCCCCTGGAAACTGCTACTCTTTGTATTGTCTCCATAGTTTTGTCTTTTCCATAGTGTCATAGTTGGAATCAGACAACATGTAGCCTTTTCAGATTGACTTCTTTTACTTGGTAATACACATTTGAGTTTCCTTTATGTCTTTTCATGGTTTGATAGCTCATTTCTTAGCGCTGAATATTCCATTGCTTGGATGGACCACGGTTTATCCTTTTATCTAGTGAAGCACCTCTCAGTTGCTTCCAAGTTTTGGCAATTGTGAATAAGGCTCCTGTACACATCTATGGGCACTCTTAATAGTTGGCCTCTTAGCATTGTATGGTAATGAGCTAGAATAGAAAATCCACAGGATTTAATAAAAATAAAGAGCAAAGGTAAATGAATGGTTTGAGGGTGAGCTTAGAGTCTGAACTGTGTGATATAGTGGAGGGAACACTAATTCAAACATCTAACTTCTTAATTATGCCACTACTTTGTAGAGCTATTTGCCTTTCAACCCATGAACAGACTTTATCCTTTAGTGGCACAGAGCCCAAAGAGCAACCTGAAATCCTTTTTTTTTTTCTTTTCCCATAATTTTTTCATGCTTACTTATTTCCTGAGATGGTCTTCTCATTTAGGTATTTAGAAATCGGAGGAAGGATGGGTACTGTTTGATCGACTGCTGGAGGGCAATTGGGCCAATATCAAAGATTTTGACTCTGGAGTGTTAGAACCGTTTTTACTGTAAAGACAAGAAGGACAAATAAGGTACTAGTTAGGGGAACAGGAACCTTCAAATGAAGTCTTTTGAGTTTTTACAGCAAGAGCCAGAAGTTTCTCAGTGTCATAAAGTTTAGGCATTAAGTCTAACACCCGTGGAGGTGGGAATCTTGGCTAGGTGAGGTCCACTTCTCAGGAGAGGGAGGAAGACCATCTTTTCGTAGGAGCTAGTGTTTATGCTAGACATACTTCACGTTCAAGAGGAGGAACAGCATGCTGCTGTGAAATGATAAGCCACTGAGGTTTGGCGGTGTGACCAGAAAGCTGGAAGGTGTGACTAGAAGCCGTGATCTAAGCTCCTAGCTGACAAAGTGAGTATTGTCAGTAGGGGTTGAGGTAAGTTGTGTGGTTTCCCAAATGGAAAAAGGCTTTGCAGCCAAGCAGCCAGGAAGTAAGTAAACAAATGCTTTGTATATACGTATGTTTTATGTATTATGTGTGTTTTGAGCAAAAGTGAATTCAGAAGACCAAGGATATCCTCTCACTGGCTTCTCTCTAAAATGGAAAAATCTAGGTTTTATAGTCAATTCCTCTTAACTCGAACCCCCTTGCTCATCAAGCACACACGTAGGCATCGTATCTCTTGTCTGTGCTGCAGTTAAGATAAGGGGCCAGACAGACTTCCAAGCGTCTACACTCCAAACCTCACATGTTAGGACAGAGAAACTAGCTCAGCCTGTCAGGACTTCTGGATCGCAGTCCTGGCTTTTCTGCTATTAATAGAACCATGGGAGAGAGAGGGAAAAAATGACTATTTATTTTGAAGTCTGAGAAATCCTATCTGTAGTGCTAATCTCATTGAAGTCTTCCAAGTCTATCAAGTGAGTGATATTCTCATAGGACATGGGAGGGAACTGGCTTGAAGATCGCAAATGACTCGTTCACATTTTTTGCAGCTAGAAAGGATTTGAACCTTGGACCTCAAATAATAATATTTAACATGTAATGAGTGCCTACTGCGTGTTTACCAGGTCTGGTTGGCACTTGATAGACCCGGTCTCACTTCACTCTCATAACAACCCGAGAAGGCAAATATTCTCGCTATCTTACTATGATGAACCCGACGTTTTATAGAAGGGTAGTTACTTGCCCCACATCTCACAGGGAAGCTAGTGCTGGTATTTCAAGCCACATCTGCCTGCTTCCAGAATTCATGCTTTGTAGCATGAGGTTTGTTGCAAATCCAAGCCCTTCTGAATCCATATTCTGTCAGTGCTTTATATTCAGTCAGGCCTGATTTTAAACATGGGTCAAGACTTAGCAAGAACGTGGGTGTCGGCAAGTCAATTAACTTCTTAACGTTAGTTTCTTCATTTGTAAAATGGGGACAGTAATAAACAGCTCTCAGCATTGGAAGGTTTTGATATGGTTGGATGTACAGTGGGTCCTCCAATAAATGATAGTGTCTCTCTCTGCCACTTTTTTGATCACCATGAATACTTCTCCCACCCCTGCTCCCAATGTTCTCTCAGCAGAACTGGTTTTATTTATTTATTTATTTATTTATTTATGGCGCTAGGATAGAAGGCTAAGATCTTTCTCTGTTTGGAGATGAACAAAGTCGAACCAGGAGTGGGGTAAAGACAAGAAAATGCCCAGCAGCATGTATTCTTGAAGTGTCCAGAACCTACCCATGCAACTTTGCTTTGTCTTATTGAATTAAATTAGTCTCTGGGAGGTATTTCAGCTGAGTGCCTGCACATGATGACAAGTGGTGATTCAGAGATTCAGTACCACTTTGGGGACAGCCAGGGACCAAACACTGGCAACATAACCTAGACATGGTGGTCCTAGCAGTGAGAACAGTCAGTAGCTGTGTTTGTAAAGTGGCATGGAAGTGAGGTGGGCAGCATGAGCAAACTGAAGAATGAGAAATCCTTCTAAAGGACAATGCTTTGGTTGTGGCTCGACGTGGTAAGGGAAAAAAAGAATAAGCAAGGAATTTGGTCAGAGTCGGGTGAAATAAGGTTGAGTTGTCTCTGCATAACCAATTTCTGTTTCTCATCCCACCTCACTCCTCTCTGCCACACCCCACGTTAACCATAATCATGTGATGTGAAGGGCAACGTCAGTTGGTTTCATAGATCTGTATGTCAGAAGACTGACAAGGACTGTATTACATGACAATGAACTTCAGGGAGATTTGGGTATATTCTGGTAAGGTCTGACTCATAGAAACAGTTGCAGAGATGAATTTCCTTTAGCTGGAAGGTTGAAGATCTTCACGAAGTAAGGTTCACGCACAAAACTCGAATGGAGGAATACTTCAATAGAATCTCTTCTTAAAAGATCAAACGTGAGCATTTTCTCACACACCTAGTGATGTACAAATGGGAGCAACTTCACTGGAAGGCATTTGGCAATATGTATCAAAGTTCTTTAACGTATCGATCCCATAATTTTATGTTTAAAAATTTTTTCTAAGACAGTATTCAAAAATAAGGCCAAATATTTTTTTTTTAATTTTTTTTTCAACGTTTATTTATTTTTGGGACAGAGAGAGACAGAGCATGAACAGGGGAGGGGCAGAGAGAGAGGGAGACACAGAATCGGAAACAGGCTCCAGGCTCTGAGCCATCAGCCTAGAGCCCGACGCGGGGGCTCGAACTCACGGACCGCGAGATCGTGACCTGGCTGAAGTCAGACGCTTAACCAACTGCGCCACCCAGGCGCCCCAAGGCCAAATATTTTTTATGTTAGCAAAAAACATGGAAACCACCCAGATGCCCAACCGTAGGGGATTGCCTGAATAAATTGTGATATAATCTGTCTGGGTAATGACTATATATGGTTTTTAAAATCACATTGTAGATGAATATTTTTTAAATGAGGAAACACTTATTAGGAAATAATCAAAAACATCATGTATGGAACGATTCCAACTTTGATAATAAACCCAGTGTGTGGATAGAAAAACTAGAAGAATATACGTCAAAATTTTTGTAGTGGAATTATGGACATGTAAAAACAACTTCTGAAATACATTTATCTGTAGTACACATAAATGGAAAAAAGAAAAAATACATTTTTTTCAAATAGCAACATGGAAGACAAAGTTGCTAACAGGCTATTTGAGAGTTAAAGAATTTAGTTACTTAGAATTTAGAACAAAACTGTGTTCATTTATATGTTCAGTCCTCAAATAATCGATTTTGACTGTTATTTTGCAAAGAGTTCGAAGTGGTTGGTTAGTTGAAATGGAGGAAGATATACCTCAACATCAGCCTTTTGATATCATTTCCTTTCACCACTTTGGTCAAGAGGAGGGGCACTAATTTTTGCAGTGTGAGCACCATTCAGAGACAATTCATTTCCGCCTTCTGTCTTATAGTCCTGACGCACACAAGGGACCCAGGATTGGAAAGGCCAGCTTCTTCCACCGCCTTTCTGGATCAGTGTTCTCCACCTGCATCACTGCCTGACATAGACACAGGTAACATTTGCTTTTGCTTTCTCATATCTTTGTCATCTGAGTATCCTACTAGTCCCACTTATAAAGAAAAAAATTCTCAGGAAAAAAGATGCTGGCAATATGGCATTTTATTACAAGTGGCTTGGCACGGATACGGGCTTGCTAGAAAAGAATTTTCTAATAATCACATCAGAACTGCATGAACTCTAAAGGATGTGAAAACTACTGCAGCATTCATGGGAAGCTACTTTCTTTTTCTCAATATGCTGCGTGTTTTGCTTTATGTTGAGTTACTTACATACTACCCATCTTAAAGGACTGAATAAGTGAAAACACTCCTGTTCCTTAGGAAATTAGGGAAAATGTGAAGAAGTTAGAAAATTTTAGAAATTAATTGAAAAATTGAAAAAAGATAGAGTTACATGTGCAATTTGTTTTCCACGTTTTCTGCTCCTTAGATATCATCTCTTCACACTGATTAATATAAGAACCAAGGTAAATTTTAGACGTTTACTATTTAATAATTTCTTGTTATATTGATATTAATATAGATGAAATCCCTTATGGATATTAACTAATGACTGCCTATTGACAAATTTTATTTTCACAGAGGCTTCTGTGGCAACATCATACACTAGAAAATTATTTCTAAAATTCAAATATACATGGAATCATTTGGGATTAAAAATACAGGAGTCTTGGCTCCAACTAAGAGATTTTTTTAATCGTTCTTTTTTAATTAATTTATTTTTGTTTTGAGAGAGAGAGCACGTGCAAGTGGGGGAGTGGGGCAGAGAGAGAGAGAGAGAGAGGGAGAGAATCTTAAGTAGGCTCGATGCTCAAAACAGAGCCCGACATGGGGCTACCTGGGATTATGACCTGAGCCCAAATCAAGAATCGAATGCTCAACCAACTGAGCCACCCAGGCACCCCTAAGATATTTTTATTCCACACACCTTGCATGGGGCACTGGAATCAGATTGTTGAGCAATCTGTGATGTTAACTCTTAATAATTCTTTTGCAGATGGTTTATTGGATGTATTTTGGGAAACACTCTAGTAGAGTCATGTCATAACTGAAAAGAATGCAAGAACTTTGTAATATTTATATATAGATCTGAATGTGTATATTAAGGCTTTTTAAGGCAAGATACTTATATTTTTTCAGAACTTCAGAAACAGAATTTTTGTTTTTTGAATTGATAGTTTTAAAACGGTCTCAGTAATTTACAATGGTGCCTCAAATTTGCCCAACATTTGTATATGTACATTGAACATTTGGAGTTAAATTGGCTGGGTGAATATGACTCAGCCTATTCAGTGTATTGGTAAATTAAAAAAAAAACACCTTTCTGTATTTCTAATCCATAATGGCAATAATCACTAGAAGTATAAATGAATTTAACAGAAATATTGAAAGGTTTTCGCTTTCCTATATATATCAGGCTCAGTCCACATGCTTTGTGCACTTGAAGGAGTTAAACACACCTCCCCTTACACATACAGATACACACACACACCTCTAGGTATGTATCTTGTATATTTCTATAGACTGACACTGTAATTTTTCTTTTGAAAGAAATCATCCTGTTGTGAGGTTTTAATGCAAAACACGTTTCCCTTCTTCCTGTAGAGATGAGCGATCAGAAAGTGATTTATTCCACCCTGAGATTTCTTCAGTCTCCTTCAGAGTCACAAAATAGAATAAGGCCAGGTAGGACTCAAAGGCCTGGGAAAACTGATGACAAAGGTATGTGTCTTAAGCATCTCTTTCAAACTTTGACGTTTGAAAAAAAGTTCCTGTCTGTCCTTCAGGTTCTCAAATGGTGATAGGAAACGATAATGGCGTAGGTAGCAGAGCAAGTCTTTTTTTTTTTTTTTTTTTTAAGTTTGTGAGAATGGAGAAATTGATGAATTCTTTTAGATTCATAAAGCCAATAAAATGTTTTTATTCAAATTTCTGATCAAGAGGAATTTTTGAGGCCATTAAAAGTGAAGGACAGATTACAGTCTCAAGAAAACACTACATTTCCTAGAGAAATAAAGGTCTTAGAGACTGCTTGAAAAATGACAATATTTGTTAGAAACAATGTTTTTATTCAGATAGAAGGTGTTTTAGGTGTCTTAAATATTTACCAAACCTTAACGGCAATGAAGAAACAGAAGGAGCATTCATTTTTTTTTCTGTTCTCTTTTCTGTTCTGCCTTCAAATATTGTCACGAGCTCTAAAGTGAGAATGACTTTTACTGTTTTAATTTAGTGACAGAGATACAGTTTTCAGATCAAGGATCTCAAAAATAGGAGGCAAAATATAATATTGTCTAGGGAAAAATAGAATTGATGGAAAAGAAAGGAAATTCGATTTCTAGAAATTAAAAAAAAATTTTTTTTAATGTTTATTTATTTTTGAGAGAGAGAGACAGACAGAATGCGAGCAGAAGAGGGGTAGAGAGAGGGAGACACAGAATCCGAAGCAGGCTCCAGGCCCTGAGCTGTCAGCACAGAGCCCGATGCGGGGCTGGAACTCACAAACTGTGAGATCATGACCTGAGCTGAAGTCAGATGCTCAACCAACTGAGCCACCCAGGCGCCCCTATTTCTAGAAACTCGTTTAAGGATAGATCCCAATCACATTTCCAGCTTCAGAATATCCACTGTTGGCTACCAATTCCTCAAGAATATTGACTGCTTTTTTGTTCCTCTTCATGATTAGTTGTGATCACAGGAAAGAGTATACAATGTCCATGTGGATTCTTATAAATGTGTATTATGTCTATTGCCTTCTGTGCTTCTTTTTGAAAACTTGGTTAGATTTTTTTAAATTGAAGGATAGTTGACATGCAATGTACCTTAGTTTCAAGTGCACAGCATATTCATTGGACAGCTCTCTCTTTAGTAAGGGAAGTACTTTTAAAATCCTATTGGACTGTTCTTATGTGTAGTATTTCTACAGTGGGTGTATATCAGTCAGAAGTCTGAGACCTTATTTTTACTTTTCATAAAAGGGGAGAGGGGCAGAGAGAGAAAGAGAGAGAATCTCAAGCAGGCTCCTTGCTGAGCCTGACACAGGGCTGGATTCCATGACACTGGGATCATGACCTGAGCCAAAATCAAGAATCAGATGCTCAACCGACTGAGCCACCCAGGCGCCCCAGAAATCTGAGACTTTAAAACTGTAATTATTAGGTTATGAATTTAAATCAATTGGTATGATATATTTTTGTAAAAATTGTAGGGAAGATTGTCTCTTTGTTTCAAATGGTATCCCAGGCTAAGGTTAGTAGGGGCCATGCTCTGCCCCTGATAATTATCTTTCTTTTTATTTAAAGAGTTTTCAGTGCCATGGCATCTCATTGCAGTGATTCTTGGGATCCTCTGTTTACTACTATCGGTGACAGTTGCAGTGTTGGGGACAAAGAGTGAGTAACTGAAATATATCCTTCAAGCCTGAGTAATAGCAGGGAACGCTAATTGTGCAAATATTAATTGTGCTCCATTAATTGTTCCCCGACTCCCATCAGGGAATGTCCCAGGTGGCTCTTTCTGGGTGATTTTTTCCATAGACATGTCACAGTGCTATTTTCATGTTACTTACCTATTCCAGTGACTCTGTGGTTCAGTGAGTTGTCTTACTGTGTATAGTACATGATAACATTCCTCCAGTTACAGGACTTAGTCATATTCTGACTTCTGAGTTTAGATCACTGTGATTCTTAAACATTCTTCAAGAAATAGCTGTTCAGAAGAAATTATGACTTTCTTGTGATTTTTTTTAAGTATTTAATGAAGATATCGTTTAGTGGAAAGAGTGATTCTGTACATGGACATTAGATGATCTTGAATACAACTTTTTAAATGTTTTTTTTAGTTTATTTATTTATTTTGAGAGAGACAGAGACAGCGTGAGTGGGGGAGGGGCAGGGAGAGAGGGAGAGGGTGAATCCCAAGCAGGCTCCGAGCTGCCAATGCAGAGCCCCACATGGGTCTTGAACCCAGGAAACTGCAAGATCATGACCTGAGGCCAAAACAAAGAGTCAGATGCTTAACTAGTTGAGCCACCCAGGTGCCCCTTAAATTCAACTGTTATCTTTTATTTGAATTTCTTGACATTTCTCGAGAAAATTACTAATATGTTACACTCAGATAAATGTACATATTTAAATCTTTCTCTCTTTTCTTCTGTGGATATTCTATCTCCTCCAATAACAATGATGCTATTTCCTTATGTGTCTCAGCACAGTTTTTCATGCTCAGATGTGTTGTTAAAAGTTGATTGACTGATTTTTACTTTGGTACCTATTTATAAATGATGCACTAACTTTTTAAAAGAAACAAAACCGAATTATAACGTGTTACCATGATAATTTTATTTATTTATTCTACACTCAGGTTACTAACAGTGTGAAATTTGGTGGTTCCATTCCTATGGTTAGTTTATTGAGGTGTTACTTTCTAAATGTCAAATTACTCATTTAAAGTAATGAAATGGGTTGGTTATCAAAGTGAGACTTTCCTTTGTCTTACATTTTAACAGTTAAGCCGTATGAGTACTTTTATATTATATCTATGCTATTAATTTTAGTTTTTCAGTATATTCAAGAAAACCATCAGCAGAGGGAAAATATAAGAAATTTGAGTCAAGAGTACCGAATTGTGCAAAATGACAGCTACTTCAAGGAGCAACTTTTGACAAATAAGATTTTGGAATGTAACAGTCGTGAAAATGAAAGTCTTCAGCAGAAAATGAAGCAGGATTTTATAGAAAGGACATGCCAGAGAAAAAATATAGGTATGGAGGGAAGGGAAGATTGCATGATTTTCTTTTATTTCTTCCCCTCCCAGAAGGTTTGAGGCTAAATAGACAGGTTTACGATCTGTGCTAGTGATCTAGGTTTACCAGGCAACTTTTTATTTCTACTTCTGAGGTAATATGAGTGTTCGGGTTTGCCTGTATCAAATATGAGACTGAGACTCCAGGAGCCATTTGGATTAGTAGGGCTCTATATTTCCCCCAAACTCAATGACAAACCCTGCATTTCTACTGCTCCCAGAAGGTGAAATCGTGTGTCAGCTTCCCTGAAAACTTGGATCATTTTGGACCTGTGGGCAAATTAGGCACTCCGCTTTGTTGCTGACATGAAATGTGGAGGCTACAAGTAAAAATGTACTTCGGCTAAAATGGGCACAATGCCTTTCATTTGGATGCTCTTGGAAAGGTGATTGTGTGCGTGTGTTCCCATTCTGCCTTGAGTTGAGATATTTGGCCTGTATGCTCTCTGCAGTGCTCCTGCAAGTTTTGCCTAAGTGTTGATGTTTGTGCGACTCGGTGTGATAATACCATTAAAAACATCCAAGAGATAAGAATATTAAATCTCACATAATAAACTCTGTTATCATGTATAATGGTGGAATGAACTGACCTGGTTAATTAACAACTATTAAATATTTGTTTAGGATTTGGAGTTTACAAAGATTTTGCATATTTAATATCATTTCAGTATGGTAGGTTGTAGTTTATCTTCTCTGTTATTAAAGAATCAACGCTATTTCAAAAATTTGATACATTATAAAATATATGAGGAAAAGAAAAAAATCCCAAAGAATGTTTCTTTTATTTAGAAGACATTCCAGAATCTTTTTTTTAATTTTATTATTATTATTATTTTTTAATGTTTATTTATTTTTGAGACAGAGGGAGACAGAGCGCGAGTGGGGGAGGGGCAGAGGGAGAGGGAGACACAGATTCTGAAACAGGCTCTGGGCTCTGAGCTGTCAGCACAGAGCCAGATGCGGGGCTCGAACCCATGAACCGTGAGATCATGACCTGAGCTGAAGTCGGATGCTTAACTGACTGAGCCACCCAGGCGCCCCCAGAATCTGTTTAAAAACTTACTTTTATTGTTTTAAAAACAGCTTTCTTGAGGTATTATTAACATGCAAAAGTTGCACATATTTACTGTATATCATTTGACAAGTTTGGACATATGCATATATCTGTAAAATCATCCATAATCAGGGTGATAGACATAACCATTACCTCCAAAAGTTTTCTCATGTCTCTCTTTTTGGGAGTGGGTAAGAACACACAAGATTCACCCTTTTAACAAGTTTTTCAGTGCACACTTCAGTATTGTTAACCAAAGGCATTTTGTTGTACCACAGATCTTTAGAACTTAATCATCTTGCACAACTGAAACTGTATACCCATTGAACAAAAAACTCCTTACTTCCCCCTCCTGTAGCCACTGGCAACCACCTTCCACTTTCTGTTTCTCTGAATTTGACTATTTTTTGTATCTCATATAAGTGGAATCATGGAGTATTTGTACTTCTGTGATTGGCTTATTTCATTGAGCATAATATCCTCAAGGTTAATCCATGCTGTTGCCTATGCAGGATTTCCTTTTTCTAAAGGCTGAAGAGTATTCTATTGATTGTATATATCACATTTTCTTTATCCATTCATCCATTGAGGGACACTCGAGGTTGTTTTCATATCTTGGCTGTCGTGAATAGTGCTGCAAGGAATATGAGAGCTATCTCTTTGCATTCCAGAATCTTGATGAACGTAATATTGTCATTATTGATGATACTAAGATTTTACTTAGTTATGGAGGGCTGATAAATATATGGCTCTGCTTAATGGAATAGCAGGTCATGTTTCACCTTATATGTTGCAGGCAAACTCTACGAAAGCCACTGGTCCTGTTGTGGAATAAAGTGTTACTATTTTATTCCTGAATATAAAAACTGGAAGGGATGTAAACAGACCTGCCAAAGCTATAATTCATTTCTTCTGAAGATAAATGATCAAGATGAACTGGTAACATGGACTGTTACATTCACTTTTATTTTCTTGCACCAGGTCTCTTACCCCTGGACCCAAGATAATGAGGATGTGGCAATCCAGACAGAGGGAACTTCAGTTATCCTCTGGGTTGTATCTGTTGAGTGAGCACAAGTTGTGTAGTTAAGAAAATTAAGGGTTCTGGAAAACCCTGCCTACTGATGGGCATATATGATGCTGCCACTTACTAAGCATTCCTATATTATCTATTCATGATGACCATTAATATTTCTAAAATGGAAAACCCCCTTGAAGATTCACTTTGGGGTTTTGCATTCATTTCCTTTTCTAAGGCATCTTCAGAACAGCTCCCTGAAAAGCATGGCTCTCCTTCAATGGAGCTCTTAACCCTTTGGTATTTGCAGCCTGGAAGCAGTGGTTATTTATCCTTCTAAGGTGGCAACTAAGTACCTGGAGGCAATCTGATCCAGTAGGTACTATCATGAATCCAGGAGCCAGACTGCCTGGTATCAGGCAAAATCCAGTTCTCCCACTTTCTAACTAAGTGACCTTGGGTGAATTATTTAGCGTCTGGGTCTCAGTTTTTCCAGCTGCAAAATGGAGATAATAATGAGTAATGTAAAAGTGATAACAGTTTTACGAATTAGAGTAATGGTGATTTTCATTGCATCTGTACATAACATTTATTTGATCAATATTCTAATATATCGTATCGATGTATATATTTTTAAAATGAATTGTAAAAAGAGAAAATAAAGTGACAATATCAAAATTATCTTTTAAATTAATTACCAATAAAAACTATCCACATACGCAGAATGTTTTTTACTGAGAAATGTTTTCAAAGATCAGTCTGAAACGTCTACTTATCACTTAGGGAAACAACACAAAATTTATATGCAAATCTAATAGATGTTTTAAATCACAACATAAAAAAAATTTACGATATGAAGTCATAAAATTATTTTTGTTTGTTGCAGTAAAACCCACTTAAAGTTAAACCTATATTTTAAAATACACTCACACATTTGATCAGACATTATATGCCACTTTGATATATTACATTTTTTGACATAGCAAATATTTCCAAATACTACCCCTTTTCCCTTCACCCTTTCTAACTACTAAACTATAGCAAGCCTTTCTCAGCTCTGATGCACAACTTCTTATATATACTTCTTATTTTAATAAATTTGTTTTGAAAATTCCTTTATTCATCTAAGAATATGTAATGATCACTGTTAGTATCCTTAAATATTTTTCTGGAGCATGATTTTGAGTAGTTTCATAGTGTCATAAATTATTTAACAAGTCTATTGTTAGATACTTAAATTTACATTTTTTTCGTGTTTTAAATAATTCATGAGACTTGGCAGCCATTTTTGTTTTTTATTCTATTAAAACATTTTTTTTTAAAGGAGTGCTCCATTTTTTTTTTTTTAATTTTTAAGTTTACTTATTTATTTGAGAGACACAGACACAGCGTGAGTGGGGAAGGGGCAGAGAGGGACAGAGAGAATCCCAAGCAGGCTCGGAGACTGATGCGGGGCTTGAACTCATGAAACCACAAGATCATGACTTGAGCTGAAACCGACAGTCAGATGCTTAACCGACTGAGCCACCCAGGCACCCCAGGAGTTCTCCATTTAATTTTAATTTTAATTTTAATTTTAATTTTAATTTTAATTTTATTTGAGAGAGAGCGAGAGAGCATGAGCAGGGGAGGAGCAGAGAGAGAGGGAGAGAGAATCTTAAGCAGGCCCCATGCCCAGCATGGAGCCCAACTTGGGGCTCAATCTTATGACAGTGAGATCATGACCTGAACTGAAATCAAGAGTTGGATGCTTAACTGACTGAACCACCCAGGACCCCCTTGGCAGCCATTTTTAATACTAAGTAAGTAATCTATGATAAAAAATTACTTCAGAAGATAAAAGCACAGGGATGGACGGGAAGAGAGGGTTTTCTAGGAAGTAGAGATGAAGGATGGTATGGAACATAGCAGAGTACCAGCCATAGAAATAGCTGGGACCTTTATCTGGTTTTTTCATTTATCTAACCGATGGGAGCTAGTCACATGATATGTTTTGTTTCCTTTACAGACCTTCATTCAAACCCAAACTTATAGGAATTACTACTGGATTGGATTATCATATAATCGAGGAGAAAGAAAATGGAAATGGATTGACAGTGACCCACTTTTGGGGATGTAAGTCTCTGGAATGAATGCATTCAAACTCCAACATTGGTGTTGGAATCAGGATGTATCTGTATCTAAAAAGAATCTTGTCTTGTTTCCCACAGTTTTCCCACAGAGGTCATTGGTAAGAACAAGTAGAATGATTAAGAAAATGTTTTAGGAAGTATAATTAAAAAGGAAGGGAAATGTCATGCAGATTATTAACAAAATTATGATCCTAGGCACATGCTCAGACGTATGTGTTATGAGGCACACAAAATAAACCAAAATTATAAAGTACCTCATTCTGACTGAATTATAGTGATCCCTCCCACAATGACAGATGAGTATTCTGAGGATACCCCAAATTCATCTGACACACCTTTGTAGATGGTCCCTGAGTTATAATGGTTTGACTTATAATTTCTCTACTTTACAATAATGTGAAAGCAATATGCAGTAGAATTTGTACTTTGAATATTTCATATGATCTTTTTCTGGGCTGGTGATGTGCAGTATGATCTCTTGTGATGCTGGGAGCTGCGGCTCTCAGTCAGCCACGTGATCCCAGTCAGCCACGTGATCACAAGATCACCAACCCAGACACTTACAACCATCCTGTACCCATCCAACCATTCTGGTTTTCACTTTCACTATCGGATTCAACAAATCACTGGAGATACTCAACACTTGAGTATAAAATAGGCTTTGTGTTAGATGGTTTTGCCTAACTAAAGGCTAACATCGGTGTTCTGATCATATTTAAGGCATGCTAGGCTAACCTAGCAGGTTAGGTGTATTAAATGCATTTTTGACTTAGGATATTTTCGATACGTGTGAAATATTATCACATCATATGATCTGTATATTGTTAGTTATATTATTTATAAACATAAATATACATGAGTATACACACACACATGCATACATATACCTTCACTATGGTTTTATTTTGAATTTGTTTCTTTATGCAAGTAAGTGAGTAAGTAAGTGATCTCTATACCCAATACGGGGCTCAACCTCATGGCCCTGGTCGCATGCTTTTCCAACTGAGTCAGCTAGGCACCCTTAAAGTTTTATTTTGAAGTGCAGTGTTTTGTAAATGCTTGGGTTTATATTTAGTTATAATCTTCTTTTAAATTGCTCAATGATTTTTAAAAAATCTTAATTGTTACACTTTTGATTTCTAGGGGTTCTGTTTTAAGTTTTCAAATCTTGCTAGTTACTCATTTTCAAACTGTCTTTGGAAAGATATCAAACATACGTGTTTATATTTGGTATCCGATAATTCTAATATTTGAAGTCTGTGGGTCTACTCTATTGTTTCTGCTTGCTTTTGTTCATGGTGTCATTTCCTTTGTAGTGTTTAGTGATTTTTGTTTTTCTTTTTGAGCTGCTGTGGAAATTATTTGGGGACTGAGATGAAGGTTGCTTTTTCAAGGAATAATTAGCTGTTTTTGGATACCTTGGGGTATGGTGTATATGGGTCACTTTTAATTCTAAATTTAGGTCCTACAAGTAGTGTGATTTTGGACTGCAAACTTACAAGAGATGTCATGAAGGAGATTACTTCAATATAGTCTTAGTGAGTACACTTCTAGGCAAAGACCTCAGAAGCATAGAACAGAAAGGCTCATGGGCCAAATTAAGATGCCTAAATTGTACAGTTAATCAAATCAATTTAAAACAAATAGCACTATGCAAGGGGAAAGAAATGGGACAGCTTTTCACAGTGGGCTGGAATGGGATCAATTGTCAAACTCAGGATAGGGTGCCAGCGGGTAAAAGGATCACTTGAATCCTGGTTTAAGTAATCTTCATATGCCCTGATTCTTCTGCATACCGCTTTCCTGATAATGGTGTGGTTGCTAGGACATCACTTGAGTTTTGACTAAGAGGGCCCACCAAACAGAAGGTTCTATGGCCAGCATACACATTTTCTCTATTGGGGAGAGGCAGGAACACGTAAGCCCAGGCACAACTGCAGCTTTTCAGTGAACCTGCTGAGCAGGTATGGATTTTATTTGGGTTTTTTAGGCAGAGGGCCAGTATGCATGTCATCATGGGAGGTGAGTTTAAGACCTCATGGATGTTGAGTATCTCTGTTCATAGTGTATATTTTGAGTGAGACATTTAGTGCTGCTTGGTTCTTTCTTCCTTTCCTATGCTCTATTTATTGTATATATACCTGACATGTCTCCAAGTTTACGGATTTACTTATCCATATATATTTAATACATCTTATGCTTTCTGCCCATGCCTCACAAGATAGTTTCATTTATCTTCCTTCCTTCCTTCCTTCCTTCCTTCCTTCCTTCCTTCCTTCCTTCTTTCTTTCTTTCTTTCTTTCTTTCTTTCTTTCTTTCTTTCTTTCTTTCTTTTCTTTCTGTAAGAGATTTGGATATTCAAATACATAGCAAATACAAATTATATGAGGAATGGAAAGCAGGCTTACTGTATCGTGACTCCATAGCAATATTGCAAGGTAACTTTGCCTTCTAACAAAAATTCCCAGTGTAAAATAAAATGAGAGATTATTATGGGATCAAAAGGTTGATATTCTGTTTAATAGGCTAAGGCCAAAAGAAAATCTTTTACTGATGAAGTTATAATATTTCCATTTTCTAGATATTTAGGCAATGGACTTGAAAAATTATAATTTATGTTATTGTCAGCTTCAGAATTAAACAGCTGGGCGTGTATGCTTTCTGTTCTACAGGCACTATGCATTCATGAATATTTCTGGGAGAGGACAATGTGCATTTTTATCTTCAACAAGAATAACAAATGCTGAGTGCTCTCAGATGTACAATTGTATCTGTGAGAAGACAATTGGTGATATTTTCTTTCCCTGCTTCAATAATTATAAGAAAAGATGAGATAGAATTTTGTAATTTTTTTTGTTTGTTGCCGTGATAATTTGTGATTATTTACAAACTAATGTTTTTGATAGCAGGACTTAGTTTACTGTGGAAACGGAGATGAGTTAGAGAAGGAAGAAAATGTTCTTTTTGGACTATGATTTAAGAAATCAGATACCTGATCTTTTCTTGAGGAAGAGGGTAAGATTTTGTCTTTGGAGAGCAATTTCCCCTCTCTTTAATGGCCCTGAGAAATGCTCTCTTTCTATTTCCCTGAAGCAATTAGACATCTCTGATAGTCTAGTCTTTTCCTTATTAATAGGCTGGGTCTTTTAGGTTATTAAAGGCTGGGTCTTTCCTTATTAATAGGATGAATCATTTAAATAGCCTTGGCTTTGAGGGATGGCACGATTAAGAACTAAAAAATAGTTATCTAGCCTCCCCTCTCCCATCTAGATAATCACCTCTCATTAAAATGTTTTTCTTTTGCTATAATTTTATACTTCCTGAATAGTTGAAACAACAGTATAGAAACTCTCATGGGGCAGCTGGGTGGCTGAGTTGGTTAAGCATCCGACCTTGGCTCAGGTCATGATCTCGTGGTTTGTGAGTTTGAGCCCGGCGTCAGGCTCTGTGCTGACAGCTCAGAGCCTGGAGCCTGCTTCAGATTCTGTATCTCCCTCTCTCTCTCTCTCTGCCCCTCTGCTGCTCACACTCTGTCTTTCTCTTTCTCAAAAATAAGTAAACATTAAAAAAATGAAAACAAGCCCTTTCATATAGTCTTTGCACATTTACCATTTGTTAATATTTTGTTCTATCTGTACTTTATAGTCCTTCTCTCTCTCCCCTCCCCCCACCCTGCTCACCTGTTTGATAATAAATCGGGGTCATTATGTCCCTTTCCTAAATGTTTTATTAGAACTAGTACTTTGTCTTGTATAACCATAGTAAAATTATCAAAACCAAGAAATTTAGCATTGACAGAGTACTGTGTTTTCATCTATAACCCATATTCAAATTTGTCAACTATCCTGATTATATCATTTATAGGCATTTTTCCTGCACGTTTCAGGGTCATATGATACATTTAGTTGTGATGTATCCTTTTGTTTTTTTTTTTTACATTTTATATTAGAGAGAGAGAGAGAGAGAGAGAGAGAGAGAGAGCGTGAGAGGGGGAGAGCCAGAGGGAGAGAGAGCAGGCTCCATGCTCAGTGCTGAGCCCAATGCAAGACGATCTCACGACCCTGGAATCATGACCTGAGCCAAAATCAAGAGTCAGTTGCTTAACTGACTGAACCCCCTTCTCAGGTGCCCCAGTTGTGATGTTTCTTTACTCTGGGAGAATTCCTCAGGGTTCTTTGTTTTCCTTGACCTTGACATTTTAAAATACAGCTTTATTGAGTTATTCTTTCACGCAATAAAACGCACCCATTTTAAGTCATGAGGTCAGTGGGTTTTTAACAAATGTATACATCTCTTAAACACCATCGGGTCAAGACATAGAACATTGAACATTTCTATCACCTGCAAAAGTTCCTTTCTTCCCTCTCACTACCCACTGGTTCCCAGACAACCAGTTACACATTCTGTCACTAAAGGATTAGTTTTGACTGTGAGAGAATTTCATAATCATGTACTCTTTCATGTATCAGTAGTTCATTCTTTTTTTTTTTTCTGAATCATATTCCATTGTACCAATGTACCAGAGTTTATTCACCCACCTATGGATATTTGATGTAGTTCCTATTTTTGTCTATTACGAATAAACCTGTCATGAATACTTTTGTATAAGTTTCTGTGTGGACATGTGTTTTCATTTTTTTTTAAGTTTTTTTATTCATTTTGAGAGAGAGAGAGAGAAAGAGAGAGAGAGAGAGAGAGCATCTGCACGTACTAGTGGGAGGGAGGCAGAGAGAGGAGAGAGAGAATCCTAAGCTGTGCTTACAGCACAGAGTCTGAGGCAGGGCTCCATCTCATGAACCATGAGATTATGACCTGATCTGAAATGAACAGTCTGACGTTCAATCTACTGAGCCACCCAGGTGCCCTCCTCCCCCTCCCCCCCTTTTAAGTTCATTTATTTATTTTGAGATTTTTTAAAAATTTTTAAGTGTTTGTTTATTTTTGGGACAGAGACAGAGACAGAGTATGAGCAGGGAGAGAGAGGGAGACACAGATTCTGAAGCAGGCTCCAGTCTCTGAGCTGTCAGCACAGAGCCCGACGTGGGGCTCGAACTCACAAACCATGAGATCATGACCTGAGCTGAAGTCAGACGCTCAACCGACTGAGCCACCCAGGCACCCCAATTTTGAGATCATTTTTGAAAATTATTAAATACCTAGGAGTTTGATATTTGAGTCCTATGGTAAGTGCATGTTTAATTTCATAAGAAACTTCTAGTTTGTTTTCCAGTGGTTGCAACATTTTACTTTCCCAGTAGCAACATATGAGAGTCCCAGTTGCTCCAGATCATTGCCAGTACTTGATACTATAAGTCTTTTAAAATTTAGCCATTATGGGGCGCCTGGGTGGCTCAGTCGGTTGGGCGTCCAACTTCAGCTCAGGTCACGATCTTGCGGTCCGTGAGTTCGAGCCCCGCGTCGGGCTCTGGGCTGATGGCTCAGAGCTTGGAGCCTGTTTCCGATTCTGTGTCTCCTTCTCTCTCTGCCCCTCCCCCGTTCATGCTCTGTCTCTCTCTGTCCCCAAAATAAATAAACATTAAAAAAAAATAAATAAAATTTAGCCATTATGGTAGATGTGTAATGGTATCTCTCTGTATTTTTTAATTTGCATTTCCCTGAAGACTAATAACATTGAGCATCTTCTCGTGTTTTTTGGCCATTTGTAGATCTTCTTTTGTGCAGTGTCTGTTTAGTTTTTAGCCCATTGAAGTGTCCGTTAAGTCTTGTTTTAAGTTGGAGTTATGAGTGTTCTTTATGTAATTTGTATACAGATTATTTGTTAGATATATGTATTGCAATACTTTCTCTCAGTCTGTCTTCTCTTTTCATTTTCTTTTTTAAAAATGTTTATTTATTTTTGAGAGAGAGAGAGAGACAGAATGCGAGTGGGGGAGGGGCAGAGAGAGAGAGAGAGAGAGAGAGAGAGAGAAGGGGACACAATCTAAAGCAGGCTCCAGGCTCTGAGCTGTCAGCACAGAGCCTGATGTGGGGACGAACCCACAAACCGTGAGATCTTGACCTGAGCCGAAGTGGGATGCTCAACCGACTGAGCCACCCAGGGGCCCGTCTTTTCATTTTCTTAATGGTGTCTTCCCAGAAGCAAAAGTCTTACATTTTCAATGAAGCCTAATGTGTTTGTTTGTTTGTTTTTTCTTTTTTGGTGCTTTTTATGCCTTATCTAAGAAATCTTTGCCTATGTTAAAGTCACAGAGATTTTTCTCCAATGTTTTCTGCTAGGAGCTTTATAGTTTTGATTTATATGTTTAGTCTGTACTCATTTCATGTTAATTTTTGGGTGTGAGAAAGGGTTGAGGCTTATTATTATTGTTGTTTTTATTTTAATTCTCGTTAGTTTACATATAGTGTTGCATTAGTTTCAGGTATATAATATAGTAATGCAACACTTCTGTACCACACTCTGTGCTCCTCACAAGATGTGAACTCCTTAATCCCCATCACTTATTTAACCCATTCCCGCACCTTCCTTCCCCCTGCTAATCAGTTTCTTCTCTATCATTAAGAGGCTCTTTCTTGATTTATCTCTCCCTCCCTTATATTTTCCCTTTGCATTTTTGTTTTGTTTCTTAAATTCCACATATGAGTGAAATCATATGGTTTTGGTCTTTCTCTGACTGTTATTATTTTGCTTAGCATGATGCACTCTAGCTCCATCCGAACCATTGCAAATAGCAAGATTTCATTCTTTTTTTATGACTGTGAAAGTAGTATTCCATTTATCTGTCTATCTACCTACCTACCTACCTATTATCTATCTACCTATCTATCTATCTATTATCTATCTATCTATCTATCTATCATCTATCTATCATCTATCATCATCATCATCTCAACTTTATCTTTCCATTCATCAGTCAATGGACACTTGAGCTGCTTCCATAATTTAGCTATTGTAAATAATGTTGCTATAAGCATAGAGGTGTGTGTACGCCTTTGGATTAGTGTTCTTGTACTCTTTGGGTAAATACCCAGTAGTGCAATTGCTGGGTCGTAGGGTAGTTCCTTTTTGAGGAACTTCCATGCTGTATTCCGAAGTGGCTGCACCAACTTGCATTCCCACCAACAGCGCAAACGGGTTCCCTTTTCTCCACATCCTCGCCAACACCTGCTATTTCTCGTGCGTTGTAGATGTTAGCCATTCTGACAGGTGTGAGGTAATATCTCATTGTAGTTTTCATTTGTATTTTCCTGATGATCAGTCATGTTGAGGATCTTTTCATGAGTCTGTTGGACATTTGTATGTCTTCTGTGGGAAAATGTCTATTCGTGCTTTCTGTCCAATTTTAAACTGGATTATTCATTTTGGGGGTGTTGAGTTATAGAAGTTCTTTAAGTATTTTGGATACAAACCTTTAGCAGATATGTCATTTGCAAATATCGCTCCCATTCCATAGATTGTCTTTTAGTTTTGCTGATTGTTTCCTTCGCTGTGTAGAAACTTTTTATTTTTATATAGTCTCAATAATATTTCTTGAAAGGGATACATGCATCCTGATGTTTATAGCAACAGTATATACAATAGCCAAATTATGGAAACAGTCCAAGTGTCCATATTGGACAAGTGGAATATTACTCAGCCATAAAAAGAATGAAATCTTACCATTTGAAATGACATGGGTGGAGCTACAGAGTATTATGCTAAGTGAAATATATCAGTCAGAGAAAGACAAATACTGTATTTCACATATGGTAAAATCATATGTAGAATTTAAGAAACAAAAAAACATTGAGCAAAGGGAAAAAAGAGAGAGAGGCAAACCAAGAAACAGACTCTTTTTTTTTAAGGAAGTTTATTTTCTTTTTTTTTAATGTTTATTTATTTGAGAGAC